GACGTACTCTCAAAATGTTCTTTTATTGTTTTAATAATCCTGTTAACATCAAACTGTAAGCATAATGATACATTGCAAAACAGGTCACAGGGTTCTCTTTAAATTAATAAAATGTATAACTATGAAAAAAATCACTCACATCATAATTCAAATTAAATTTTCATATATTTTATTTTAGAATTATTTCAAAGAAATTGTGTGTGTACCGTTGTTTTTTAAATAACAGTGTGCTCCGTACCATTTCAACATAACTTTATGACAAGGTTAGCTTTTAAAAAAGCTAGTAGCGACTCGCTTCGTAATTTTTTTCAAGGGGTGTGTTTAAATGTAAAAATGACAGTTCTGTTAGCTGAAGAGACTTCAGCGAACATCAAATAAAAGTGAAGTCAACACTGGCCCGGTGCCCGATGGCCAGTGTATATAAGTTCAGGCCAGTGTAAATTTAAGAAAATTTTGTTAATTATTTAGTAGAATAAATTCAAAACTGGAATTCGGGCCAGTAAATTCAAAATCTTAAACTCATTGACTGAAAGTGACATATAAAGTTCTCTCAGTTTAACCAAGATGAGTATGAGTATATATGAAGGTGCATGTAAACAGATAGAATGAAGAACCTATGTCTATGCACATTTACTATATGGCCTGTTGACCTTGACCACAAAATGTTAGATAGGTAGATTTCATAAAGATGTCTCTTTATACAAAATTAAGTTGTAATACATGTATGTTATTTAGTATTGGAATGAGAGGCACAAGTCCTAAAGTAAACACAAGTTGTCAATCAATTCAGCCAGAAAAGCCGGGATCCTATTAAAAAATATAGGGATCCCGGAAATTGACCAGTCTAAGAAGATGTTTTTCAGATAAGCCGGGATCCTATTAAAACATATAGGGATCCCGGGAATTGACCAGTTCAAGAATATAGTTTTCAGAAAAGCCGGGATCGTATTAAAATATAAATAGATCTCACGGATTGGCCAGTTCAAGTATATAGTTTTCAGAAAAGCTGGGATCGTTTTAAAACATATAGAGATCCCGGGATTTGACCAATTCAAGACAATAGTCTTTGATTTTTCCAATTAATTAGGCATATAATTATAAGTATTGTGATTTCCGCATTTTAAGTTTGTTAATAAATAGCTCTAAATATATCTATATTCTAAGTTAAATTAATTTAACGTTCATTATATACAATAAAAAAAATAACGTTTAATGGCCTTTCATTACGACAACAATCAACACAAATATAGTTCATTAGGTTTTTCCTCCATATCTTATACGATCCCGGATCCCGGGCGTCCCGGATCCCGGCCAGTAAATACATACACTAAATACCGGAAAGGATAAAATGACCGGAAAAAAAGAAAAAAGAAAAAATGCACAGAACCAGATGTACACTTATGTTAATTAACCAAACGAAAACTTACTACAGAGAAAACAGGTGAAATCGCTAAATCAGAAGTCAGTGTAAATATGATTTATTGAAAAGAATTCATAAAGACAAACATTTTAATCATCATTATATCTTTGCGCTCAAAACAATACTTGCTGATTTTTAAAAATGGCGTGAAAATTGAAGTTTTTTTGACGCTATGTAAGATTTAATTTGATTGGCTAAATAATTTTGGATCCTAGCCCTGATATATAAATTTTGTAGAAAGCTGGAAGCCAAGCTTCGATTAAATTTTTGGATAGCTTCGGAGTTTTAGGTTGTTTCTCAGTAAAATCCTACCGTAATACCGGCTCGCCGTGGCGAGCCGGCAAAATATGCTAAAACATCACTGCCTTCACTCGATACATTGGACATAGTAAATATATCAGATTAAACATGTATTTTTTTATGAAATAGTGACAAAAAACAAATGACTTGCTAGAAATCGCTTGTTATGACAAATGAATGTGTACCATTCCCCTCGGCCTCGGCTATGAGAAGAAAACTGTACTCGAATGTTCTCAAAAACCATTCAGGGGTATATACCGTGGAAATGCTGATATAATTACGGGTACTCTGCGCCTTATCTGATCAAAATCGGTCGGGTAATAGATAAAAAACACACCTGAATCGGGTGAAAAATCGGCGTGCTCCGTACCCAAAAGGTCAAATGGTATGGCCACATTGTTAAATATCTTCAGGGGGAAAACGGAGATGTTTAGTTGGACGGTTATTTCGCAGCAGCGTTTTAGAGGCGGCTCATGACGCTATCAAAATGAGTTGCTGGCGATTATCAATTTTGTGTGGAACTCAAGCTTTCAACAGTAGAAACATTAAAATAACTTAAAAATTTGGATACATTATGTCCAAGATACTCGTTAGCACTTCAACATTCCAGAAACACAGGACATATATTTATTCATCCACCTATTCGTTAATTCATTTGTTTATATGTTCGTTCGTTCAGTTCTTCATTCATTGTTCAATTATGTATTTACTTTTTATTCATTTACTAACAGCACAGAATCACAAAAAAAAAACAGATCAATTAATGAATTACTTGGTTGATTTAAAGTCTCATCAATGTGCATACTGTAACAGTTGTACAGTACACTTAGTGCATTTGTCATCCAAATAGATGACTTTGGTTACATATAAGACTACACATATATATGTATAATTTATCTACATGCCAACAGCTTAAATATCTAATGTACCTTCTTAGAGGTATACATAATGCCTTAGAAACCAATAAATGTTTACTTCTCTAGAAAGGCCAAACATAATTTTATCTTATTTCAGTATCAGTATTAGAGCAAGTTAGATGATTGTTACCTGAAGAAAGTAGCGATAAATGTGAAATGATTCGTCATAAAAGAAGCAAAATGTAAACAAAATAGTATTTCAACTCCCATACAAAATATTGTCTGATTTTATTGACCTGTCAATTATGAATACATTAAAGCACTCATTTACCGTGTAATCAGTATGTAATTGACAGGTTAATAAAACCAAACAATACCAAATCATTATAACTGTACTATTTGTAAACAGCAACAGAAGGGAAAGATGGTTCAGGTAATTGGCCAATGAGTAATGATTTGTAATCTATAAAAGTAAACCAAAATAAAAGACTTTTGAGATGTAAAGATGAAAGCATTTCTAAGACGTGACGGAATGGCAAAACAATGAATATCAATTAAGAAACAGAACAGATAGGAACATAGTTGAATTGTCTCGGACGTATCCGAGAATTTCCACTAATAAGCGTACGTTACGGAAACATCCGATACAAAACAATAGTAGACAAGAAGAATACCACAATTAATGCATTTGTGAACATTTTAGCATAATTTTCCCCGAGGCTGACGGCAACACTTAGGGTTACAAAAAATCGACCCATAATTAACATTTGAATCATTCAACATATGGGTTATGCTGTAAGGGTTCTTTTGCCAAATATAAATCAAATCCATATTTTTTTTAAAAATTTGACCTTGACTGTCAAGGTCATACAGGTATAGGAACAGCTAAACATACCAGTCTTGTTAAATTGTTAAAACTGGTTCTGATCAAATATAAACGATATCCATAAATTAATGAGTAACAAAGTCATGATCACCTGAAGGAAAACTCACTAATTAATTTGACCTTTAGTGTCATGGTCAAATCAATGTCAAGGGCAATTTAATCTTCTTTGATATTGTGTCTCAAGAATTGTTGTGTATGAAGATGTTAATGTACCGAACTGTTAACTTCTATGGGCGATATCCCGATATCTCAGCTGGCAGAGCTGTGGTACGGTATTCCGAGGGTCCCTGTTTCAAGTCCCGGCCAGGCTGCACATTTTCTCACCCTGTGACATTTGGCGCCCAACGTGGGGCCGTGATGGTAAAAAGCTGTGAGTCCAATTTCACATTGTTCTCTGTACCCATTAGAAATTTGAGGACGAATTTTAATATAGTTGGGAGTATGTCACGGTTAAGAACTGTTCGAACACTGGGGTAGATAGTGTGCAAAGCCTGGATAGCTCAGTCGGTAAAGCTGTGGTACAGTTTCAGAGGGTACCAGGTCCGAGTCCCGGTCAGGCTGCATATTATCCTCTCACTGTGATAAAGACAAAACATTCATTACTTTCAAAGTTATCGCCAAATACAGCAAAAAGCTGTGCAACTACAATAGTTTGACCTTTAAGGCCAATGTCATTTATGAGTAAAGATCATATTGAGTTTGAGCTGCTATAAGACATTGTTCTCAAGGTAGTTGTGCTCAAATATGAAGACAATCCATTTAAAATTACTAAGTTATAGCCAGTTATACAAAAATATCAAGCAAAATTAAAACTTTGGCCTTGAAGGTCAATACCATTGATGAGTGAGGTTACAATATCTTTGGTCAACTTAAAGGTCTTGACTGAAGGATTGTTGTGTCAAAGAATGAAAACATTCCATTTACAAATCACAAAGTTATAGCCAATTATAGGAGAGATGAAGTCATATTACAAAATTTGACCTTGAAGGTCAAGTTCATTTCTGAGTCAAGGTCAAGGTTCATTTGCTCTACTACAACAGTTGTTGAGTCGAAGAATGGACCTTTCCAGTTTTTCGTAGCGGAACCTTTAGCCACACCTTTTCTATTCATTTCTAGGTCAACTGCTCACAAACAGTATCACAAACAAAACCATGTGTTCTTTTGTGCAAACGAGGTCAACCAGTGACTATGTACTATCTCAGTATAGCAATTGGATAACAAGTTAGCTAATTTACATAAAACTGTTAACAGTGGAAAGGTCCATGGAGACAACTGACTAAGAAATGGAAAAAGAATGGATGGCAAAATTAATGATTGTAGGAATACATAGATCTTTTTTTTTTTGGAAAATGTCAAGCTAGAAATACCTGAAAAAGGCCATGAGAAAATTGGTTAACTTGCTTCAATGCAGTGAAAAGGTAACAAAAAGATTAGTTGGTAACAGCTTGATGACAATAATGCCATATCAAATTAACCACTTGACCATTTATTAAGTTTTGGTGCATCATTATACACAATGTACAAACAAAGAACATGATACATCAGATATGTCTTTTATTTCTACAGTTTTTACTCAACAGGTCACTATTACAATGTTTAAATATCAGAATCAGTACAGGTCTAAAAATTATACAATCAAGCAATATAAAGTTTCTTAAATTTGAAGCAATTGTGCCAGTTTGGAGACCACAAAATAATGCTCTTCTGTCCTACTCATACACTTTATTTCACACCTTTATAGCATAACATGAGCCACAGACAGGTGGGGACAACACTTGATTTTAACTTTTCTAAAAGCAAAAAGATAAAACAAGAAAAATAAAGAAAAAAAAAACTAGATTTTCCTTTTTTTATTTCAATAGGTAGGTCTAGTCCCACTTGTTGTTTTGTCCAAGTATGAATCATTACCATAATGTCCAATGATCAATTTTTCATTTGAAACTGTTCTCATGGTCCAATTTTCATAGCAGTAAATCAAAGGACAAGAAGAAGGTCAATTCATCAAAATCTAGGTCAAGTGATATCAAAGTTAAATTCTATATCTGAAACTGTTCACATTGTCCAAATTTCATAGCAGTAGATCAAAGGACAAGAAAGTAGGTCAATTCATCAAAATCTAGGTCAAGTGATATCAAAGTTAAATTCTATATCTGAAACTGTGCACATTGTCTAAATTTCATAACTGTACATCAAAGGACAAGAAAGTAGGTCAATTCATCAAAATCTAGAGCAGCCAATATCAAAGTTCAATTTTACATTTTAAACTGTGCACATGGTCAAAATTTCATAGCTGTACACTGAAAGAACAAGAAAGTAGTTCACTTGGTCAAATTATCTTGGTCAGCTGTTATCAAAGTTCAATTTTACATCAAACTGTGCACATGGTCCATATTTCATAGCTGTATATCAAAGGACAAGAAAGTAGGTCACTTTATCAAATTATCTAGGCCAGCTGATTATCAAAGTTCAATTTTACATGTAAAACTGTGCACATGGTCCAAATGTCATAGCCATAGGAAAAGTATGAGAATTTCATTAATTTAACCTTTATAAAGGTCAATGTCATTTATGAATGAAGGTCAAGTTTAGTCTTGTCTACTTGAAGGTCTTGTTTCAAGGATTATTGTGGCTTAGTACGAAGGCAATACATCAAGAACTTAAAAAGTTAAAATCAAAGTTAAAGTGTGCAGACTGCTGTATGGTAATGCTGCCATTACTGTAAAGATACCTCTTTTTTCCTTTTTATCTTTTAAAAGGCAAGCTTAAAAATAAGAACAAGAGAGAAATATACACTAACACTGAATACACTATATATAATAACAGTCAAAATATCACAATTTAAAAATACAAGCATGTCATTCAAAGTTGGTTAGTGAGTAATTTTCAATTTTTTAATGTAAATTAGTAATTTAAATGTTTGACAAAAAATCTCCCTTTTTGGCCTTGAGTCTAGCCCAAATTTCAACCACTAAATGAATGTTTCTTATATTCTATGATCAAAAAGCATTTTTCTTTCACTAAATTTCAACACAAGCCAGGCAAAACTGGGTGATGCTCCACAAATAGGTTTTCCACTTTGTCACAGTGAAGTTAAGTTTCTTGTTGATATCTCTTATAGTTTTAGAGCTATGTCCCAGACAAAGTTCAAAGTGTAATAATGGAAAAGGGTAATAACTCAAAATAAGGCAAGGCAGAGTTATGGTTCCTATGCATTGCACTTCTACTTAATAAAATCTATCTACCTACTAAGTTTCTTGTTGAGACCTCTTGTTAGGGCTGTCATTGATTGAAAATTTTGTATCGATATATATCAAGAGGCAAATATTAATAATATATCGCTATATCGACTTTGACAGTAGATACAATAAAACACTTAAATATGTGTTATAAATTGGGATCATGGTGTTATGCATGCTTGTATTAGACATTACAAATACTACAAACTAACAGAAAGTTTTTTTTTCTGTTATTTTTGTCACTGACATTAGAAAATGGAGTTTAAAGTTCAAGTTAGACAAGAAAACTAGAAAAAAGTAACTTCTCTTATTAGGTAAAATAGAGAGGTATATTCACTTACAGAAATAATTTTTTTAGCTTGTATCGATATTTGAAAACGTGTATGGATATTATATCGAATAATGAATATCGATGATATATCAATATTGCGATATTCAATGACAGCCCTACCTCTTGTAGTTTCAGAGTTATGTCCCAGACAAGAAAAAGCAGACAGACAGATGACAGACATTCCAAAAGTGCCAGTCCTATGGACCTGACAAGTAAAATTACATTTGGACCAGGAAAAATTCTGTCCGAGCTGATCCCACTGTCCTGTAACAATCTAAAGATTTCACATTTAACTTTTACATTAACTATCTTCAAAATAACATTAAAAATTAAAATAAACACAGTAATTATCAGTACAAGTATTACATATTCTATGTCAATAATTTTCATAAATAAATTTACCATAAGTTATTGAGAAAAAAACATTAAAAAATTTAGTTGTTATATCGCTATTACAGTACAGCATGTGAACGAATATTTACTTCTGGTTGGAAAATCACTAGTTTTTGTGAATACAAGAAATAAGTGTTTTACGCTATTTTATTCTGATTTCCATTCGGTCCAAGGAAAACTGAATCGGTCTAGTGATTCTTCCAAGATTGCCTGACCAAATGTCCAGTTACGTCAAAATACTTTTCAAAATGTTTGCAGACGGACAAAGCAACGAGTATATGCTCTCCCTTTGGGGAATATAAAAATTACTATAATGTTGTATTCACTGCCTGTGCTTGTCTTTCTTTTTTATCTTTTTTGTTGAGAATGACAACCATGCCATATCATCTCTTACCACTTTAAATAATTTCTTCTGTTTATATAAATACTGTATTGCATCAATTTTCTTCCTGCTTTTCACAACCGTAAAATTTATATCCAGAGATATCTCCTCACCTTCAGCAGCTATATAAAGATAAACTGTCGACACGGACACAGTGTGAGGAACATCTGGTAGAATGTCAACAAACTTCCGCCATGTTCTCAGGTTCATGATCACACCATACAGACTAATGTGCTTCAAACTCTTCATCTCTAACGGAAGCTGGATTATATTGTCATGTAACCGACACTGTGTTAAATGAAGTCTATTTAGGTTGTGTAACAACGGTAACACTGTACACAGCTTGCTGGTAACACCAGAATGAAATAGTTCAGAATTGGTAAATTCTGCAAATAAGTCAAGTTCTGTTAATTTGCTAGCTGTTCCAATTAAACCAAAAACATTCATATAGTTGTCGTATTTCAAACCACTAAATTTAAATACCTCAAGGTTTGAGGCATCAACGTTTGTCACAGACACGTCATTGATGTAGTTAATGTACTTCAACTGAGGATGATTTGATAAATTTACGTCATGCTGGTTCCCACACTCACAAGACAAACATAAGTATATTCCTTCAAGGTGACTGGTTCCTTGTAGAAACTCGCAAAAGGAAGAAGCATGTTCATGATTAAGTGTCATATGTGACATCTTTATTGCTTCAAGATTGATCATACTAGGTAGGTAGTACACTACAGTTTTACACACTGGATAAAACATAGTCGTAAACGGAGCACCACAAACAGACAAAGATTTTAATGTTGAAACATTCATTTTCATCATTTCTGCAACAGAACTGTTGACCACATGAAGAATTTGTTCATTATCGGGTGTACTTGGTGTACACACCTGAAGCGCCACTAGTCCAGATTTTATGCTGATCTTTTCAAGGTGTTGGAACATTGGTAAATACCTGAAAATGTCACCATTACGAGTTGTTATACAGTCATCTATAGATAAAGTTAGAGATATAACTGATTCAAGAGCTATTTGCTGTCGATCAATACTTGAACAAACCATATCAAAATTCCTGCTATTAATAATCAAATCTCCCAGATAAAATCTAGGATGACTTCCTACAACACTTGCATTGCATTCTTCCACCGAGTTAAAAATAAGATCTTGCAGATCTACGACACATCTATCATCATTTTCCACTGTTCTCCTATACCCTTGCACACATGAATCTTTAAAACAAATATCATATATGCATTTCCATACATGTGTTGCTAATCTAGGTTCTAGACCACAAAGAAAAATGAAAACATTTGACACCTCTAGTATGTCATCTAAAGTTGAACGTTTCTTGAAAACATCCTCTACAAACTGCATGGACTCACTTTGCAAATCTACATTTTCTAAATTATTTAATAAACTTAGTTTATTTTTGAAATTGACAGCAATACACACTGCTGCCATAAATTCATGCATTGATTTATGAATGAAAGAGAACAGTGATCTTGAAGGTTTATGGGCCCAGAAAATTGGACATGTATCTTCCGATAATATTCCAAGTACGACACACCTTTCTTTAACATCATCCTCATAAAGATCTAAATCAAGCAACACATCGTCATAAAATGTCCATGAATTATCCTTTGTGGGCCTAAAAAGTGTCTCATAAGCCATCCGTGACAAGTCATAAATGAGATCACTATTTAATTTACATATCTTTTTATCTGCTAAATATTGAGGGAGATCTACAGGCGGGGAATCATCTTCCATTCTTTGTTCTCCATTACCTGTTGATTTACTATCATTCCAGATAAAGAAAAGTTCCAATATACTAGTATATACAGAACATCTTGTGGACCTATTGAGGTCATCATTAAGCCAGAGGCATATTAAATGTTGAAGTATTAGTGGGACTTGTTTTAAACCTGCCAGAGGCTTCTTGTCCAGCTTTTGTTCAAAGGCACTAACATCTTTACAAGGGCCTGTTGAGTTCTGGCTCAATACAGATAAAGTTCTGTACAACAATTCCTGTTCATGTTTCTCATTAATTTTGAGTTTTAATGTTACGTCCATGTCACTTTTACATACAACCAGAGTTCGAATCTTCCACGGCCGAGACGTAGTTATAACGGTGTAGTCCTTAAAGCAGTCTACTTGAGGCAGACCTTCAGTCTGGAACTGATTGTATGTTTGCGTATGGGGGAACCATTCATCCAACCCGTCAAGCAATATGAGAAGTTTACCTGACTCTTCATCAATAAGATGTCTGAGAATTCCTGCATTGTATTCCTTAAGAAGCATATCTTCAATTGAAATTACCTGTTGAAATCGTCTCAAAGGGATGTAAAATAAGAAATCAAATTTCTTCATTTCTTTTATACCATCTAATTCATCTTCTACACATGGAGTCTCACTGTGTGCCATACACCAAAACATTATCAATTTTCTACAGAAAAAACTTTTCCCAGTACCAGCTTCTCCAACAAGATAAATATATCTTTGACGATCTTTGCCTTTTGTAAAAATTTCTGACATTGATATAACTTCAATATCTTCAGTCATTCCACGTTTGCCGCTGATTTCTCTAGTGATAGTTGGTCTAACATATATATCATTGAAGTGACAATTTGGACTTCCTGGTAACGGAATGACAGGCACTTGAAGGACGGTCTTTTCATATGTTTCTATCAGCTTGGTCTGCAATTCTGTAAAAAAAAAGAAGAAAAAATGTATAATTAATCAAGTAATCAAGAAGATGTTTTTGTTGATTTGTTGATTTTTCTTTTAATTTTGGTTGGGTTTTACATGTACTTTTCACCTACACTCTTTAGGTCATATGATGACGTTCCAGCTTTATTGGTGGATGAAGACCTCATCCATCATTTCAAGCACAAACATGCACCTGAGTAGAACCACTGACATATTGTAAGCTAAATGGATACCTATCTCACGTGAAAGAATCTAAGCGTCTGACAGTCATTGAAAAAGTATTATGAGCCGCGCCATGACAAAACCAACATAGTGCGTTTGCGACCAGCATGGATCCAGACAAGCCTGCGCATGCGCGCAGTCTAATCAGGATCCATGCTGTTCGCTAACAAACCCTATAACAAGTATAGAAACTGATACCAAACAGCATGGATCCTGACCAGACTGCGCGAATGTGCAGGCTGGTCTGGATCCATGCTGGTCGCAAACTCATTATGTTGGTTTTGTCATGGCGCAGCTCAAATTTTGAAAACTTATATTATTTACAGTAAAAAAAATGGAGAATACAATGTACATGTACATCATTTATGCAACATGGAAGTGGTTTACACATAATGTTGATTAATAAGCACAGTTATATTACTTTTAAATATGGTAAGAAAATTGTATCATTGTAATTATTTAATAATGATCAACAGAAAAAACTAGATGCCCAAATGCAACATGTCGTGCCCGCAGTCACATATGACCTTGAGCTTTGACCTTGTCAAACCGTTCTTTGGCTAGACATGCCATCTCATAATGTTGAACATTTGTGCCAAATAATTTTATTTTATTTTAAGTTATGGTGCGTACAAGCTGTTTCATTACATTTTTTTTGCATTTGACATTTAAGAATGACCTTTGACTTTGACCTAGCCACACAATTCTTGCAATATACATGCCATCTTATGATGTTGAACGTTTGTGCCAGGTTACTTGAAATTCCACCTACTAGTGATAAAGTTATGGTAAGGACAAGCTGTTTGAGACCATTTTTTTGCATTTGATTACCTTGACTTTTGACCTAGCCAAACAGTTTTTGTGTGCGACAGACCATCTCAAGATTTTGAACATAGGTTATTTGAAATTCCACCAGCTAGTAACAGAGTAATGTTGCAGACAAGCTGTTTCATTTGACATTTAAGTATGACCTTTGACCTAGCCACACGGTTCTTGTGCACATGGCACTCCATCTCATTATTGTTAACATTTGTGCTAAGTTATTTGAAATTATGCCAACAAATGACAGAGTTACAACCTGGACAAGTATGATCCAGAGGGACGGACAGATCCATGTACATACACTGAAATACCATTGTGACAACTATGTCATGCTTTCTGCAAGCAGACTCAACAAAAATTGACAATACATCAGTACTGTTAATATCAATATTCAGGGCTCTCGTTTGGGGTAAAATTTGGGGCTGAGTATCTGCCCCATTCCCTGACCAAAAAAGTGTGTTTTTCGGCCCCATTACCCCACCAAAAAAGTGTTTTTTTCCCCTAAAACCGAAAAAAATTCCCCTTAAAATTAATATTTAACGGGCATAAAAAATGCCGATTGGCGAATATATATTCCGCAAACCGTGAAATGGCAACCGGAAATTAGTGCGTATTCCACGAACGGCAATCGGAAATAAGTACGTATATATATAAATAAGACGTTCCGGACAGTTTTTAGCATTCCGAAATGGCGCATAATTTCAAGTCTTACCGGAAAATAAAATTCCCCCTTGAATGAAAAATATTTGAAAATCATGCAAAATCCCACCCCTGCATGGACCCTGGCCCCAGTTTCAAAATGCTAACGAGAGCCCTGATATTAACAAATCCCAAATCTATATTCCTGTTTCCAAGCACCACTAAGCAATGCTACAATTCATATAGGAGAGATTTACCAGTGGCCAATATTCTAAAATAGAATTGCTGATAAGCACTGACCATAGCAACCGTTGCTGGTCGTACATCCTCTTTGTACTACCTAGTCATTTTACATAAGAAACCTATGGTGTGTATGTCTATTAAGAAATAAATATGAGCTCTGTTTCAATAAAGTAGAGGTTTTGATGCTAAAGCATCATTAGTCCCCGAACAGAAAAATGATTGTATTATCCTAAATTCAAGAAAATATCAGTTAAATGGTTCATGAATAAAGAAAAGATTAACAATATGTTGAGTAACTATTTATTTACAATAAAGACATATGTGAAACAAACTTGCTTAGAAATATTGTCAAGAAACTGTTATCATTTTTTAAATCAGCAAAAAATAACGTACACTTAATTCATCGTAAACTTAATTCATCGCGAATAAAACAGGTGATTGAAAATAATTAAAGTAAAGCATTAACATTAAGCTTGCAAAGTGACTGGGAAAATATGTTTAATTATTGTAAGAAACGATGCAATTCTATTGTACTTTTAAAGGTACTGACTACAAAATTATATAAACAAAACAATCTTTCTTATCTCATATTTCCTATTTATTTATTTTTTATTGAAAATAAATAAAACTGTAGGGAAAAAAAATCTTCAAACAATTATAAAAACTGTAGGCAAAAGAAATATTCGAACAATTATAAAGACATTGTTTAGATATTTGTTATAATATGTGGCCTTAAAAAAAGTTATAATTATTTAACGATATCAAATATATAATGCCTAGCTTATAAGTATGATATAGTTTTAGAGGTGTATTTATCATATCTGCCTGATCCCAGATTTTTTTCAAACCACAGATGTGACACATGACTATTTTGAGTAATTATGTTGCCTTTTCTTTTTTATATTGGCTGCTGTAAACATGTTTAACTGGGGATTTTGTCAACTTTTTAAATAAGTTAAATTTATCCCAAACATTTTCAAATGTCACCTGTTGGTCAAACACCATTTTAACAGTCAATCTTTTGAAATATAAAGTCAATTCAGCTCAAATTGACTATGAAAATATGAGCATAATGTCACTTTAACTTGCTAAATACTTAAAACTGAACATGAACTAAGCATAAAGTTTTAAATAATATTTATGTTAACAACACTCAGTTTTGGGTCTTAAGCATACATTTAACAATGGCTGAAATATAATACCCTTGAATCATAAAACATATTTACATTGACAGGGTGAAAAAAGGGAAAATGAAAATGAAACAAAACTGAGCAATTAGCAGGCATATTTCACATAAAAATGACAATTCATAGATCACATGCAGCGAGTTGTTTCAAGATTGATATAGACATAAAAATTAAAGTACATGTAGATGTTTAGCAAAAATTAAACCCTTTATAACATCACACTTATCTTATATATAAAATATATCAATACTATTTAGAAAATAGTTGTGTATTTTTTTTCTTCATTTTGAATATTACAAAAAATATATGTTCAGATAATTCTGATCTTTAAAACTATGCCCCAGGAACATCATCTTATGTTAACTTTACAGAAAATGGTATCATTGTTTACATGTTGTTTGTACGACCTTCTAAGATTGTGTGTATACGTAGTCCACACAGCAGTTATCAGTGACGTGGTGGTAAATCTCTCCAATAGCTAAGCTCCAGGCTATTAAGTATCAGAAGATAAAAATGTTTTTTGCATATAGTCCTTGTTAAATTAGAGTTATACCATATTTATAAAAGTGGTGCAAGAGTTAAGACCCTTGTCATATATCATATGATATGGGCAATATTGGGAAATTTCAATATAATTATATGACAAATACACAAGAAATAAAGAAATAGAATATCATAAAAATTTTAAGCGAAAAGGGGGATAATTCTTGAAATATTTTTGTAAGGTGAGTCCAGGTAAATAGACCGAGCAAGAACTATGGGATAGCTCAGTCCGTAGAGCTGTGGTACGGTATTCCGAAGTTCCTTGGTTCGAGTCCGGGCCAGGCTGCACATTTTTCTCATCCTGTGACATATGGTTGTGAAGACTAACCATTAGGGCTGTGCATTGCCATTTTTTCTGTCACGATTCATATCACGATACTTGTATTTCCAAACTATGCGATTCCCGATATGTATTGCATACTTCGATAAAATGCAATGCATATTGCGATTCTTATGTTGCGATGCGATAAGTATCACAATACTGACTATCAGACTTTATCTATATAAAAAACTTGTTTACAGCATAATTACGAATATAATATAAAACTATTACAATAACAAAACAATAAACTCTTCAACTTGTTATTATAACTTGTTTTCAAGTTTTGATCTTTCAACAATTTAGTTTACTTATTACTTTAGGATTTTTACTTTTTATTTAAGGATTAAAGATATTTTTCATTATATCATAACTATTAGTGTATTGCGATACTTTCCCGCTATATCGATGCATCGGGAGGTGAAATATGTATTGCATCCCGATATATTGGAATTTATAATTTCATTACGATGCATACATTAAGGACAGGGCAGATCGCGATGTATCGAAGCAACGATGAATCTTTACACCTCTACTAACCATGCTCTACAGTATACTGTTGCTAGCTCAATTTTCATATTTTTACCTTGTAACCCCTTTAGCTTTATTTTCTGTTGGAAAAAACAATTCTGTGTAATTTTATCTTATAAGTGCATCATATCACTGTTCAGCCTTCTTCAAAACAGTGTTCAGAGAATTATTTATAATGTATAATTGATGTTTGAAAAGTTCATTTTTCACCTTAATTCTTTTGATATGACAATTATATCAAACAATTTATGTAAATACTTCAGAAAAGCTTAAGGCCACTTTAATGGTCTCTAATTTAAAGCTGGGCAAATCCGTTACACAAACTCTGAAGGTGAATCATTAAAATTCAGCTTGCTTGGTTACGTACTGAAAATATAATTACCTGATTTGGCTTGCTGGTATACAGCATGTTTTTGACGTGAAGAATATGCCATCTTTAATTTTTCTTTATTTCTGTAAAATTAAATAATATTGTTAAGCATTTCATATGTATTAATTTATCTTCATCTAGTATTTATTTTCTTTTAAAATCATTTACTGAAGATGATGTTTTACAACTTTTAGTTGGTCACTCATTTGGTCATATCTTTGTCTGTAAATCTGACATTCTCATACAAAAAAAGCAATTTTTGGACATCCATAGAAATAGTGCAATTTGTACGTAGAATTATAAAGGCTTGCCTGCCCTGAATTTTATGTCATTCAATTTCATTCACCCTAGCATTTCAATGAATTAAATCACATCATGTACATATCTGTGCGGACACATGGTACTGTAGTGTAGACAATTTAGGTAATTTTGATACCCTCCTTGACGAGCCTCAGGAAAGTGTTAATATAATCAAAAATAGTCAAACTAGAGTTTGTTAGTTATGAGAAGAACATAGCTGTACTGTGTCAAATTTTCAGGTCTCTAGGTTTGAAATTATGAAATCTTTATGGAAAAATGTTCAAAATGTGTCCGGTTGATGGTCCCTGACCAGTAGAGGCGAGATATTGACCAGACACGAAAATAAATTTAGTGAGTATTAGTGTTGCCCTAGACTAGTAGATCTAGTAGTGGCCTAGAAGGAATTTTGGTAAGCTGAACTTGTATAATACTTTATGTTATATACAGTCGCTTATAAAAACTCTTAGAGCTTATGATGTACTGTTGCAAATTTGCCAACTTCACTTGAAACAAGAATTTGTAACAGAGTTACCAACGTCCCCCGCCTCGGGAAATTTTATATGAAGCATAAAATTGTGCTATTTCAAAAGATTGAGGTTATAATGGATCTCAGGACATTTACTCCAAAATTATGATCAATGCAAATGTAACAATAAATTTGTTAAAAAAATAAAATGAAACACGGAATTTAAAAATCTATCATGTTAAGATTTGACCTCTTAGTGTGACCTTGACCTTGGAGGTAGGGGAGCAGGTGTTGTGCATGACATAACGTCTTATTATTGAGACTATTTGTGCCAAGTATTTTCAAAATCCCTTGAACTATGAAGAAGTTATAGATTGGACACAAAATATACCCTTATAATAACAGACTATGTAAATCTTTGATCTCTAAGTGTGACCTTGACCTTGGAGGTAGGGACACAGATGTTACGCATGACATATCATCTAATCATTGTGACTATTTGTCCCAAGTATTTTCAAAATCCCTTAATCTATGAAGAAGTAATGGACGGGACAAAAAATATACCAAATAACAGACTCTGTTAACCTTTGACCTCTAAGTGTGACCTTGACCTTGGATGTAGGGGTGCAGGTGTTGTACCTTACATATTGTCTTATTATGGTGACTATTTGTGCCAAGTTATTTTAAAATCCCTTGAACTATGAAGAAGTTCTAGATTTGACACAAATATACCTATAACAGACTATGTTAATTTTTGACCTCTAAGTGTGACCTTGACCTTGGAGGTAGGGATGCAGGTGTTGCGCATGACACATCCTCTTATTATAGTGACTTTTTGTGCATAGTGTTTTCAAAATCCTTGGATCTATGAAAAAGTTATGGACCGGACACAAAATATACCCTGTAACAGACTATGTAAGTATTTGACCTCCAAGTGTGACCTTGACCTTGGAGGTAGGTGACTGTTTTTTGCGCATGACACATCGTCTGATTATTGTGAACAATTATGGCAAGTATTTACACAATCCCTTCATAGATAAGAAAGTTATGGACCGGACATGACATATACCCTCAAATAGACAATGTTAACCTTGAATGAGCAAGTACGACCTTGACCCTGAAGGTACGGATCTGGTTGTTGCGCATGACACATCCTCTTATTATAACAAACATTTGTGCCAAGTTATTTCAAATTCCTTTGATAAATGACAAAGTTATGGACCGGACACGAAATATATCCTGTAACAGACTATGTTAATATTTGACCTCCAAGTGTGACCTTGACCTTGAAGGTAGGTGACTGGTTTTTGCGCATGACACATCGTCTGATTATTGTGAACAATTATGGCAAGTATTTACAAAATCCCTTCATAGATAAGAAAGTTATGGACCGGACACAACATATACCCTCAAATAGGCAATGTTGACCTTGAATGAGCAAGTGCGACCTTGACCCTGGAGGTAGGGGTCTGGTTGTTGAGCATGACACTTTGTCTTATTATAATAAACATTTGTGCCAAGTTATTTCAAATTCCTTTCATAAATGACAAAGTTATGGACCGGACACGAAAGTGTGACGGACGGACAGACGGACGGACGGACGGACAGACGGACGGAGCCTATTTCTATATCCCCCTTTTTTCTTCGATTTTTTTGCGCATGACACATCGTCTGATTATTGTGAACAATTATGGCAAGTATTTACACAATCCCTTCATAGATAAGAAAGTTATGGACCGGACATGACATATACCCTCAAATAGACAATGTTAACCTTGAATGAGCAAGTACGACCTTGACCTGAAGGTACGGATCTGGTTGTTGCGCATGACACATCCTCTTATTATAACAAACATTTGTGCCAAGTTATTTCAAATTCCTTTGATAAATGACAAAGTTATGGACCGGACACGAAATATATCCTGTAACAGACTATGTTAATATTTGACCTCCAAGTGTGACCTTGACCTTGAAGGTAGGTGACTGGTTTTTTTGCGCATGACACATCGTCTGATTATTGTGAACATTATGGCAAGTATTTACAAAATCCCTTCATAGATAAGAAAGTTATGGACCGGACACAACATATACCCTCAAATAGGCAATGTTGACCTTGAATGAGCAAGTGCGACTTGACCCTGGAGGTAGGGGTCTGGTTGTTGAGCATGACACTTCGTCTTATTATAATAAACATTTGTGCCAAGTTATTTCAAATTCCCTTTCATAAATGACAAAGTTATGGACCGGCACACGAAAGTGTGACGGACGGACGGACAGACGGACGGACGGACAGACGGACGGAGCCTATTTCTATATCCCCCTTTTTTCTTCGAAAAGGCGGGGGACAATAAAACTTATCTGACATGTAACTTTGGAACAGTTGGAAATATCATAGGAACTCTGGAACAGGACCGCATATTGTGGCGCATAAATCCGAATCCGTACCGGCTTTATATATGTTCTTTGTCCGACCTTTGAATATCTTTTCATATTATGCGAGCGGGTTGTCTTTAATTATCTAATCTCAATTTAATATAATCTGCTAATTTAAAAATCAGTCAAATTAACGGTTCATTGAAACAAGAGGGCCATGATGGCCCTGAGGTCGCTCACCTGTATAAAGGCACCCGGAGCGGGACCAGTTTAAACCCCAGGGCTTTTATTTGAACAAACTTGGAGAACACCTATTAGAAGATGTTTCACAATGTTAAGTTTTGACTACACACATATAATGAAAAACAATGATCTACCCCCCTTCCCCCCACCCGGCAAAGCCAATTTTAATCCAGGGGCTTTTATTTGAACAAACTTGGTAGAAACCAATAAGAAGATGTTTCATGCTAAACATCTAAGCTCTAGTTCATTGGGTTTTTTAAAAGAAAATTTTTGCTATACACATATAAGGAAAATCAATGACACCCGGGGCGGGGCCAATTTTGACCCAAGGGCTTTTATTTGAACAAATTTGGTAGACACCCATTAGAACATGTTTCATGCTAAATATCTTAGCTCTTAACTCTTTCAGTTCTTTAAAAGAAGATTTTTTAAGTTTTTACTATATGCATATAGGGAAAATCAATGACCCCCTGGGGCAGGGCCAATTTTGACCCCAGGGCTTTTATTTGAACAAACTATGTAGACACCCATTAGAACATGTTTCATGCTAAATATCTTAGCTCTGGCTCTTTCAGTTCTTTAAAAGAAGATTTTTTAAGTTTTTACTATATGCATATAGGGAAAATCAATGACCCCCTGGGGCGGGGCCAATTTTGACCCCAGGGCTTTTATTTGAACAAACTTGGTAGACACCCATTAGAACATGTTTCATGCTAAATATCTTAGCTCTAGCTCTTTCAGTTCTTTTAAAGAAGATTTTTAAGTTTTTACTATATGCATATAGGGAAAATCAATGACCCCCTTGGGCGGGGCCAATTTTGACCCCAGGGCTTTTATTTGTTGAACAAACTTGGTAGACACTCATTAGAACATGTTTCATGCCAAATATCTAAGCTCTAGCTCTTAGGGTTTTTTAAAAGAAGATATTTAAAGTTTTTACTTTCGGTTGCCATGGCAACCAGAGTTCTGCATGGAATTAAATTCTTTGAACAATTTTTTAAGGTGACCACCAAAGGAACATTCCTGTGAAGTTTGGATGAAATTGGCTTAGTGGTTTATGAGGAGATGTCATTTAAAGTAAAAGTTTACGGACGGACGGACAGACGCCGGACGAAAAGCGATCACAAAAGCTCACCCTGTCACTTTGTGACAGATGAGCTAAAAAGAAAAGGAGTGACATCCACCATTTACCGCAACATTCGGCGTAAGTTATCCCCCTTGATATGCTTGATTTTTGTTTTAATTTTTCTAGTAATGAATACCAGATGAGTGGTTAAAATATTTATCTATGGATAATTTTTTCAGTTAGGCAAAATCAGTTGTTCCATATTACTAAAGTGTCTGTTTTCTCCATGTTAACAAATCAAAACAAGAATACACCCGTTATAATGCCGCCTATACATGTCAACACGTGTAAAAATAAACCGTGAATGTTATATCTGGACGATACCTGATAGTTGACAAAAATAACGGGAACAAAATTCTGAAAAAATAGTAATCAATTGTAGCCAAAGGGGAAAAACTCATGCCGAAAACGTTGCGGCGAATGGCGGATGTCACTCTTATAATATCGATACCATAAAATTTGACCAGTTTTTAAAGAGACAGATTGGGTTCAATTGATAATATATTTTTTGAGGCCATACACTGGGATAATACTTAAAGATATTTAGATGTAGCAGAAACGTTTTTAAAAACCGTTACACGATCGAAAATATGCGCCGCAATCTGCGGTTTGTTCTCGAGTTCCTATGGGGGCAGGGGACATATTCGAATGATGGCCCCGATCAAATTTCTTAATAACTCAGACATGGTGTTTTGAAGGTACTGATAACTTCTGATATTTCTCTGTCATTGTAATTCTTTCTTGTTTGTGTGTAGGAAATGAGATATATTTTTGGGTTTTTACCCGAAACTAAGCATTTTGGTAGCTTTGTATGTATTTCTGACTCTCCGAATGGAGGTGAAAAAGTTATAAAATCAAGCTTTGACAGTTGGCCCCAACAAGTAAGAAATTTCAGATAAATTTTGTGAAAAATCTAAACGTATGACAGACACTTTATTTGTCATTTCTGAAAATGCCATAGCTTACACTGCGTGTTACTGATATTTTTAAAGGAATCGGGCGGATTCTGGAGTATGCTGCACCTTCATGAAGATTGCCTATATTGGTATATTTTAGGTGTGATTTTGGCTGGGTGGTGGTAAATATAAATTGCTGTCAGTCATTTTTTGAAGGAGCAATGCATGCAAACTATTATTTTCTTCAATGTATGTCATATATCATTGAATAATGCTGTGCAACTGGTTATCTGCCTGTGAAACAGATTTTGAAATATTTGGAATTGTGTTTCTGGTCACACTGAAATACAAAATTTTTCATTTTTAGGTCCCCTGCCCCCTATGGGAAATATCTACTCATAAATTATTTTCTACTTTCGGTTTAAGAATAGATATAAAATAGATCTAGTTTTATTTTACATAGGACATGCCGTCTCAAACCTATATAGCATGTAACAAAAAGTGAATTCAACGCACAGTATTTCAATTTAACGAGCTATAGATCAACCTATATACCGTAATTTCCTCAAAATTTGCGAAATGTTTGACCAGGGCTAACCTCAGCCATCTTAAAATTACTATTGCGCATGCGTTAATTCAATCGGAACGTCATCGGCTATACTGGCGGAAAGGGCCGAAAAGTTGCGGGATATTAATCGACGGTCTCCGGTGGTCTTCAAAGATATGTAATAAAAAGCACAAGAATGATCAATGTCGATATTCAAAAACGCCCCATGGTATTTCGTAATCATTCAATGGGGGTATTTATGACTGTGATATGGTCTGTGGAGTTGTCTCCCTTAGAGGCAAAAAATAAAATTTAATAGTCTTTTGTGATTCTTTTAGAATGGCTTTTCATGTATTTTATGTTTGTGTTTTACGTTTTATATGTAATTTTATTTATATATGTAAAGATGAGACTGAAATAAAGAAAATATGACTCCGCCTACTAACTGTGAGAATATTGGCGGCTTTAATAATATTTATAATTATATTCATATAATATTTATAATATATTCACACCATTCTGTGTCATTAATTTATGACCTATACTATAACCAAACAAATATATCATTCATGTAATTATTTCTAGGTTTAATTTATGTTGTTAATTATATAAAATATCAGAAAAGCTTTTATTATGCATTGTTATTAAACATAACAGTTCTTCGTCGCCAATAAATCAAAAATATACAGAGATATGATGTTGTCATTGTTATGAACTTGTGTTTTTTTAAATTTCTTGCACGTCCTTCTTTCCGTTATAAAATTAATGTGATCATATGATCATCAACGATCACTTGATTAATGATTTTAGGAATAAAATGACTATACATCCAGTAAGATCCTAGTTTTGTGCATATTTGCATCATAATTTGTTATCGAAGACACTTTGAATTTATCCTGTCTATCTTTACTAGTCTTTTTTACTTTTTAATTACTTGCTTGTTAAATATTTAACTGAATAAGACACATTCGAATATGTATCGAATAAAAGTTATTAAAAAACTTGCAACTAAGAAATATAGTCATTAAATCAGTTTTCGTGTTGGAAAAACTTAAGAACTGTTTCTGATGCATAACAAACCGAATATTAATTTAACAACAATATGTAATTGTTAATACTTGCATTTGGATATCAAAATTGGAAGACTTAATGGAAAAGTTAAGGCTGCACTATTTTATAAGCACACGTTAGCAAAGCACAATGATTGGCTACAGCAATCGAACGACATGAAGCGTCCTGTGAACGTTGCCTTTGCCTAAATTGTTGATCTTTATTCTTGTTATTTTTTACACTAAACCGGCGTGGTGCATGACATCTGTTTGTCGTCTGAAGGCTTTGTGATTTCACTGCATAAAAAGTGAAGTGTAAACAATGTGGATGATTATCGTGGAATAACACTTATAAGCAGTCTTGGTAAACTCTTACACGAATGATAAATAAAAGGTTGAAACTTTGGCCCGAAAAATATAATGTATATATAGAAGCACACAGGGCAGAATTTAGGGCGAATATGAGCACTGTAGATAATATTTTTGTACATAATGGCTTAATAACCCATATTCTTAATCAAGGGAAACAACTTTTTACTTTGTTGACTGTACAAAAAAGCTTTTTATTATGTAGTTCGTGAAAATCTTTGGTTCAAATTGACACAGTTAGGTCTTAGAGGTGATATTTTCAACATTGTAAAATCAATTTATGAGTCTGTTAAGTCTAGAGTTAAGTATTGCAATAAGTTAAGTGATGAATACACATGTTTGCTGGGCGTGAGACAAGGGGAGTGTTTATCTCCCTTTTTATTCTGTGCGTTTAGGATCCAATATAATGATGTAAAACAGTTATCATAATGTGTTTAATATTTTAAGTCTATAAATAAAAATATCGACAAATTCACCAACAGTTACTGTCGGCGTAACGCAGTAGGTAAAATTGTCTGGTACATTTTTAGTTACATATCAATGCAAGACAGCCGGGTTCGGTCCCAAGAAATTATGTATAATTACACTGCGGATGATCTCGTGACCATAATCGTACAATGGGCTCATAAAATGGCGGCCTAAGCGCTCGGTAAAATCAGTGAAATTGAGGTAAGCATACAGTTAACGTTAAAATTATATGTAAAACTAGGCCGCACGGAACGCCTGTATAAAAACCACGTACTGTTCTGTTAATGGTTACTTTGTAGCTCTCTCTGTTTAGGCCTGAAAGTCGAAAAAGTTGTATTGGGCGATGAGTACAATAGCCGAACAGGTACTAAAATACGTTGTTTTCAGTTAAAGAAACGCATTTTGAGCAAAATTAGTAATGACATCTTGTGCACAATTGGAATTTTACCCGTCAAGAACAATTTCCATCCTTTGTAAAGTTGCATAACGAAGTTGTGCATCTTTTTAAAAACGAGTACAATGGCCGAACAAAATTTAATGAGTACAATGGCCGAACGATTTTATTGCCTGTCCCATTTCGTAAAATTTTTCATTGAATTATGCTTGTTTCTCGCTTCCTGTCTTTGAAATCATACAGAAGTGATATTTGAAAGTAAAAAATAGGAAGAAGTATTAAATTAAATGAATTCAATTTGCTTGCTATAAATTCCCATCTTAATAGTATTCTGCTTTGATAACACTAGTGTACAAGGTATTTAAAATACAAAAATAAAATACAAACATGTACATTATATAGAATTTATTTTACCAGCAAAATATATGTTTCAATTATATAAATAAAATTGTCAATTATTTTTGAAATAAAGTCAGTTTTTCTGTTGTTTTTTTTTTGTATTTCAGACGTAGAAAAAGTGGTTCTTTTAAATGAAAAGCATGTTTACATATAACTATGGAATATATGTAATGTATATATAAGATTTTAAAATTGTGCTTATAATATCGTTAAATACTTCATCACACCATATTAAGTAATTCAATATCGAAATTTCTTATGTGTTTATTTGCTGCATTATGACAAATCGTATAGAAAACGATCAGCTTCATGTCGTCACGAGCAGGTACACAAGGGGAAGGTACTCATACATGCTGTGGGACATGGTTCCTAAGTTATGGCAAATTGCAAAGACATTGGTTTGTAAATTGCATACTATACATGAAGTACATAGCTGTCTGGTATTTCTACATATGGCTTGAGTGGCTAAGATGGAAAGAACACAAAGAAATGGTTACATGTAAATAAAGAAAAGCTATTAAGAAAAAGAAATTAGATAAACCTGGAGCAATATTTTGCCCCATTATCTGCTATAAGCAGCGACATACAATGTACCCTTTGTGTTGAGAAATAAAGGCATTATATATGTTCTTAAATAGGTCGAATTAAAGTACAAAATTTCTTATGAGGACAAATATTATGAAACCCGGTTATTATAGCTCCAACACCGTTAAACACAACATTGGAGCTATATTTACATCCAGAAACTGATAGTTTTACTAAATTCTAATTTGTTTCGGTTGTTTCATATCAAACAACCATGGCGGAGCAAAAGTCAGTGCGAAGAATGTGGCAGTTCGTTTGCGACAAAATCTGAACTTGAGCAACACAAGTTATTTCATGCAAACCCACTCTAACTTGCAGCATCTGCCCAAAGCTATTCGAACTAGGGCAATGCTGATTGGCCACCTTTCTTCCCATTCCGGCAAATAGAAACACAAATGTACACATGGAAGAGCCTACGTATATAGTCAGGGTTTGAGTAATCACTGATCAAAGTGTGTGATATCAAAGCAATTTCAGAGAAATTTGTTTGTTCTTGTCATTGTCACAAAAGTGCCTCTTATTAGGTCATCAGACTTTGTTTTGACCATATCATGATATCTTTGTCACGTGCAGAAACGTCAATTAAGTTTATTGAGTGAATAACTTGTGTTGCTTAATCAGATTTTGCCGCGAGCTGACTGCCTGAAACGGTGTTGATCTGCAATCGTTGTTTGCTCTGAAACAACTGAAACACATTAGAATTTTAGAAATACTATCAGATTATTGATGTAAATATGGCTTCCATGTTATGTTTAACGGTGTTGGAGCTATTATAACCGGTTTCATAATATTTGATCTCATAAGAAATGTTTTACTTCAAATGAATCCTTTTAGGAACATACACATGTATGTAATGCGTTCATTTCTCAACACACAGGGTACATTGTATGCCGCTGCAAATAATAGGGCAATATATTGCTCCAGGATTACCTTATTTCGTTTTCTTAATACTTTTTCATTATGTAACCATTTCTTTGTGTTCTTTCCATCTTTGCCACACAAGCCGTTTGTAGAAATATCAGACAGCTATGTACTTCTTGTATGATATGTAATTTACAGACCTATGTTTTTGCAATTTGCCGAAACTTAGAAACAATGTCCCACAATGTGCCTTCCCTTGTGAACCTGCTCGTGACGACATTAAGCTGATCGTCTTCTATACGATTTGCCATAATGTCGGCATATAAACACATAAGAAATTTCCAATTCCTGTAAAGATATTGAATTACTTAATATGGTTTGATGAAGTATTTAACGATAATATAAGCACAAATTTAAAATCTAATATATTCATTACATGTATATATTCCATAGATATATGTAAACATGCTTTTCATTTAAAGGAACCACTTTTTCTGCGTCTGAAATATAAAAATAAAACAACAACAACAAAAACAAATAAACCTGACTTTATTTCCAAAATAATTGACAATTCTATTTATGTAATTTAAATATATATATTGCTGATGAAATAAATTCTATATAATGTACATGTTTGTATTTTATTTTTGTATTTTAAAAACTTTTGCGCTGATGTACCCGTGTGTTATCAAAGCAGAATACTACTAAGATGAGAATTTCTAGCAAGCAAACTGAATTCATTTAATTTAATACTTGTTCCTATTTTTCACTTTCAAATATCCCATCTGTATGATTTCATAGACAGGAAGCGAGAAACAAGCATAATTCAATGAAAAAATTTACGAAATAGGACAGGTAATAAAATCGTTCGGCCATTGTACTCATTAAATTTGGTTCGTCCATTGTACTCGTTTTTAAAAAGATGCACAACTTCGTT